GGTTCAGGGGAAGTCAGGGGGGGCGGGGATGGGGATCAAAGGAGGGCAGAAGCAAGGGGCCAAAGAGGATTGCCTGCAGTCTGCAAAGCCACGGTGAGAGAGAAACGGTGCATGACCCAGGAGGCGCGTGGTGGTAGGGTGTGGTGGCGTAACCCCCCTCCCCCGCTCGGACAGCTGAGGCCCCTCCTGCCCTCGGGGACGGAGTCATCAAGGTGGCTGGGCTTCTCTGAAGTTCGAGTCCAGTGACAGTCGGGGGGGAGGGTCGGCCGAGTCGTGCGACAAACTGATCTCTGTTGTTTGGAGATCATTTGACATTCCATGAGATCTCCGGGCCCCACCTGGAGTTTGGCAACCTTGGGGAGACTGAGTGAGGTGCTGTGGACAGAGAGAAGTCTGTGTTCTTTGCATGGAAGGTATCAGCCTACGCGGCTAATGGTGAAAATCACTCTTTGTGATTAAGTCTATTTAGGGAGCTCTACGAAAGACCTGTGCCCATCTTGCAACCAAAAAGCTACTTGCATAAAGGAAACCAATCCGCTTTGGAACCTCACCGAAGCCATTACACTTTTATACTTCTTAATAAACTGGTTGCTTTATGTAGAATAAAGGGTCACCTTTTACCTCAGAGCCACCCCATCGTGTTGACCATTCTGCCACTCTACTGCATATAATGAAGCCATCTTGTTCTTCGGGTTGAACTAAGAGGTATGGGGCGACAGCCTGTGGTGGCAGCGAACACAGGAACATAAGAAGAGCCTTGCTGGATCTGACCAGTGTGGTCCATCTAGTCCAGCATCCTGTCTCACACAGGGGCCAACCAGTTCCTCTGGAGGGACAACAACAGAGCATAGAGGCCGAGGCCTTCCTCTGTTACGAACATCAGAAAAGCCCTGCTGGATCAGACCAATGGTCCATCTAGCCCAGCATCCTGGCTTACACAGTGGCCAGCCAGTTCCTCTGGAGGGCCAAGAACAGGGCAGAGAGTCCAAGGCCTTCCCCTGAGGTTGCCTCCTGGGGTGGCTCTGGGATTCAGAGGATTAGTGCCTCTGAATGTGGAGGTTCCCCTCAGCCGCCATGGCTAGTAGCCACTGATAGACTTCTCCTCCATGAATCTATCTAATCCCCTTTTAAAGCTGTCTATTCCTGTGGCCACCACGACACCACCCTCTGGCAGCGAATTCCACCTTTTGAGCACTCTCTGTGTAAAGGAGTATTGTCCATCCTGCACCTACTGCCCATCAGCTTCACTGGATGCCCTCGGTTTCTAGTATCATTAGGGGAACGCTAAGGATGCAGTATAATACAGGAGATTTCATATCATTACAGAGAGGGGGCAATGCAGGTGTTCCATACAAGGGGTGTTCAGAAAGGGATCTTCTTCTTCTTCTTCTTCTTCTTCTTCTTCTTCTTCTTCTTGCTTCTGGAGCTGCCTCAGGAGAGGCAGTCCTGGAAAACAAATCCCACATGGCCCTTGGCAATAATGCTAAAGGTGTCTATAAGGTTTTGTCCCTTTCTGAACACCCCTTGTATGGAACACCTGCATTGCCCCCTCTCTGTAATGATATGAAATCTCCTGTATTATATGGCCCTCCCCCCCCCCTCCTGTGGGAGAAACTGTCCCTTTGAGTCGAAGGCAAAGGGAGCGCGGAAATGTCAGAGTGCCCCCAAATCCATCTGATCCTGCATCGTGTTTTTAAAAGTGGCCAACCTGTTGCCATTAGGAAGCCCATAAAAAGGGCAGCCTTGCCCTTTCCAGAGCGAGAGGCATTCAGAGCCGATTGCCTCCGAGTCTCAGCAGCTTTCCTTTCCAAATATCTTTTCTAAATATGAGCAAATCCCACCCCCACCCCCAAATCTGATACCAGCTTTTGTTTATCCAACTCTAACAAGATATGAGTTTGCCTCCCAGGTAATTGTGACCAAAAATAATTCATAGAGTTTGTCAGCTTGCAGGGTCTTATTTTGAGTGTTTGGGTAGATGAAAAAGCTTGAAGGGCCATTTGCTCTGGTAGGAGCCATGGGAGGGGAACTAAAAGTGATGCTCTTTGCTATGCAAGTAGATAAATAGGCACCACTTCGGTGGGAAGGTCACAGCGTTCCGTGCGCCTCGGTGTCTAGTCATGCCGGCCACATGACCACGGAAACGTCTTCGGACAGCGCTGGCTCTTCGGCTTGGAAACGGAGATGAGCACCGCAACCCTGGAGTCGGATTCGACTGGCTTTCTAGCAAGGGGAACCTTTACCTTTACTTTAATTTATTTTAATCTGAGATTGTGTATTATTTTGTTCTAAGCTGCCCTGAGCCCTACCTGTAGAGAAGGGCAGCCTAGTAAATCCAATTCAATAGATAACTAAATAAATAGAAGAGCCTCTGCTTTGCCTGCAGAAGGTCCCAGGTCCAATCCCTGCCATCTCCAGTTAAGGAAATCAGGTCACAGGTGATGTGAAAGACCTCCGCCTGAGACCCTGGAGAGCTGCTGCCAGTCTGAGTAGACAATACTGACCTTGATGGATCGAGGGTATGAGGGTATTCAGTATAAGGTGGCTTCATGTGAGAGAGGAACGGAAAGCACGTTATTGCCTTTGGGTCCTGTCTTTCCTTTGAAGGTCTCACATCCTCCATTTTATCCTCAAAACCACCCCGTTAGGCTGAGGGCCACAGACTAGCTCAAGGTCACCCAGTAAGTTTCAGTGGGGGGGGGGGTTTGAAGCTGGCCCTCCCCAGTTGTAGTACAGCCCTGTAATCACTACATCATGCCGGCTCTTGCTTGAGGACACAAGTTATTTCTTTTTCCACCCAACCCTCATCGTCTACTGCTGACTCTTGCCGCAGGAGTCAGTGTGATGTGGCGGTTCCAGTGCCAGACCAGGGTCAGATTAAAATCTTCTGTCTGTCATGGAAGCTCCCTGCGTGACCTTGGGCTAGTCACACGCAGGGCCGGCCCCAGTTTAGTTTGCACCCTAGGCGAGGATCCCTTCTGGCGCCCCCCCCCCCAATGCGCCCACCAATTTTCAAAAATAAATGCATTTTAGGAAGAATGAAAAACACAAATAATCAAGAAACTCCCAGAGTACGGGGCCGGGTGCAGCTTGGCGCCCCTAAGGGCCGGCCCGCTCTAGGCGATTGCCTAGTTCACCTAGTGAGTGAGCCGGCCCTGGTCACACGCACTCTCAGCCTAAGTTACCTCACAGGTTTGTTGTGAGGCTAAAATGGAGGAGACAGGGTCGCCAGGTCTGGGTTGGGAAATACCTGGAGACTTTGGGGGTGGATCTGGGAGAGGGCGGGGTTTGGGGAGGGGAGGGGCCTCGACATGGGACAGTGCCACAGAGTCCACCCCTCCAAGCAGCCGTTTTCTCCAGGGGAGCTGCTCTCTGTCAGC